AAAACATAAAATCTAAGTCTAGTCCAAAATAGGATTGAATATCTTGATGTTTACATCCTTTATTTATACCCCAAAATGAGCTTAGTTTGAATAGTGAAGTAACTTAGGGTTCTGATGAATAATACTTTGGTGTGATAGATGTGAATATCGGTCGTCACTAAAACCAAAAGATAGGCAGACACATCGCAAAATACGTACTACTAAGTAAAATACACAGAATAATAAAGAAAAGCATAGAATTAAACATTTTTTTAGTGACCGCAGGGATATTTCACTTCTGTTCACTTTGTTAATATTTCCTACTTATGGTTTACATAGCCCTTCATCCTAGATACTATTTTTTACGCTTTTCGTTATTGATTACGTTAAGATTAATCTCTTTAGTGTATTTTACTAGTGAAGATTATGTAAATACCCAGGTGGTATAAATCTTTCGTAAACGGGTTCACACTGAACAAACTTCTCTATAACGGAATATAAAAGCTCATCATTTGAACCTACTTATATCATGCTACATTTGGTTGCTTCTCAAAAGTCTGTATGACAGTATGTTTTTCAAGTTTTAAGAATTCACAGATTACCACTACGACTGTAAACAACAGGAGTAAAATATAAACTAGCACAAGTGTTTACCACTTTAAGTTGTTATTGAAATGGATTGACTACGTGAAACAACGTAATATTGGCGTAATAAAAAGTTCTTATCGTAGCGGAAGATATGTGAATACTTTTCAGTGAAGGGAAAATGGATTTAAAGCAATGATGATTTAGGCACATGGTTAACAAAGTTTTCGGATCCAGTTTTGTTATGACCTATAAGTTATTTTGGGAATCTGTATTTATGTGATACCTGAATATTATTACTGAGACTGATTTATCCCTTTAAATTATCTGAGTACTATTTGATCAAAATCTTATCCCAAACATTGGTTTTTCCGTAAATTTCAGACTGATTATTTCACTAAGTTCTCATGGTTACAAGTGCATCACCTAAATAAATGAAATTAGTGATTTCATCCTTTACTGCTTTCAACGTTTTAATAATTCACCTTTCAATAGATCTCTTATTCATAAGATTATGTGAAAATATAATTTAACACTATTGCTATTCTTTTAAAAACTTCCGCTTATATGTTCTTCCAGCATGGCAAAAAGTTGAGACATCACTGAATTTTTACATATCAGTTTTCTTTTTTTTTTGATTGAGATCATGAACCGATTGATGTTAGACCACCATCGAAAACCTGGAAGCACTGGACGGCCGTTCCGTCCTATTGTGGGACTCCTCAGTAGTGCGCATCCACGACCCCGCTCGCGGGATTCAAACCCAGGGCCATCAGTCTCGCACATGAACGCTTAACCTACTGGACCACTGAGCTGGCATCCAATGGTGTTAATGTCTAACCTCAACATATCAGTTTTCTTTTCCTTACACCATTAATAATTTTTCTTTAAAAAAGGACTGACAATCATCATTATTTTATTGTTCAGTTAACATCATGGACTGTAGGGAGGCTATTAGTTAGTAATTAATAGAAATTTTGACAATTAAAGTATATTAAAACACTTATTGATTCATTTTGTATTATTTACTTTACAACTATTTTATAGTTGCTTACAATATTTTTATAACAAAATGGAATCAGTTGACAAGTAAATTAATCAATACTGAACATCAGTATGTTTAACATTTTTGTTTTTCCAGTATTACGCGCCTACATACAAATAAAATTTAGTGTTATCATATGAATCTGATCTCATATGTTTTTTAATGTTTACTTCGGCAAACTTAAACTGTTTATCTGTTTATATCATATATATTAACATTACGTTATTTAACCTTAGAAGCCAGATTTCTTTTTTTACTGAAACCATTTCATTTAAGAGTAATTTGAAATTATTTGATACTGTAATGTTGAAGCCTTTTAATATTTCTCTTAGAAAGCAACATAATATGGTTAATTTATCAGCCGATCCGAATTAAAACTTAATGTCAATAATCTTACTAAATTCAGTAACTGAAATTTCGTGATTATTTGACTAGTTACAATTAATCCAAGTCACATAAAATAGATTACGTTTGAAAAAGTCAAATCTTCAAACCAATGTACTTAAAAACTTTTTGGATCAAAACACAATTGTCAAACAACATAACAATTATTTTCATGTGTAAATTTTAGTAATACAGTTGAATTTTGTAGATTTCTCTAGCAATCAGAACATATTGTCCCAAATAAAGTAATTAGGAGATGTAACAAAGGAGAAGCCACCACCTGTTTGGATGTAAAATCTTAAATAGGTTGGAAGGAAACCAAGTACTATCAAATCAAGATTTGGGATCGGTCAGTGTAGTTAATTGTAACACTCAGTCGTGTTTGGAGTTAAAGATTTCCTGCTTGGGATCCTAGAGATAATCGTAACCTATGGTTGAAGACACTATATGGTATGGCTCAAAATTGATGATAAGGGCAAAAATGTTTATATTCATTTTGCTTTATGCTCTGAATAATAACAATATTTTTAAGTTTTAATTTGCTCTTTTCGAACAATATTCTTTCTATTTATTTAAGACCCATCTGATTCTACTGTTTCGATTTTTGGTTTTCATCCTACATATTTCTTGTCTTCTACAAGCTGTAAAATATGGTATCTTGGGTCAGTGTTTATCCGTCCTGCAATGTTTATGACTTACATTGAAAACCTGTTAATTGAATATATTTATGTACACAAAGACATGATTAGATTAGCATATTATATGAAATGAAATTTGCCAATGGAATAGGCCTAAAGCTTTAGAGACATTCTGTTCATTGAAGATATATGAATCTATGTCGCTAGGTACTACTATTAAGGATATCATAGCTGAACTATGTGACGAATAGTATAGCTTGGGTAATATAAATTCAAGAAAAATAAATAAAGTGAATATTCAATTTAGTTTCAAATAAAAGAAAATTATGCCTAATTATAATAAGAAAAAAAATCATGTCACTTTATTTACTTTTGTTTTGATGGTATATTCATCACATAAAACTTTCAGATTCTACACAAAATAGGTCTATCAATCTGTAGATATTCGTCGAAATATGAAAATGACACATCTTAACTCCTAGCTGGGTAAGTAATACATTTTAAGGAAATACAACATGATCTCCCAAGGAATTAACTATTTTTTCAATAACTGAAATTATTTTCACTATAACCTGTTTGATTTCTTCAAAGTTTACTCACCGAATAAATAATACAGTTACCTTTTACTTAGTTAAACGATACTACCTTATATAATATTGTGGTGTGCGCTATTTATATACACATACGTAGTATATAACGATAGTCAGGAATAAAATGTATTTCAGTAGAAGATCGAGAAGGAAAGAACTAGGACGGAAAACAATTGGTATTAAAATGTAGAAACAATGAAATCTGAGACGATGGAATGATATATCCAAAAGAAACAATCAAGTTTGAGACAATGGACTGATATTTTGCAAATCAATTATTCACTGTATGGTTCTCAGATTTTAATGAGATATTCTGTAATTTCGCGTTCAAATACATCCGATTGCCCCTACTTGTGTTCATATTCACTACGATATATAATCATTTAATCTATTTGATTAGAAACTACTTCATTCAATATCAAGCTTTTTTTCTTAGCAAATAATACGTCGTTTCATTGTTTATTGTAAATTTTGTTTTGATGTATAACTGTTATTTAGGCCAAAAGTATCTACCTTTATATATATCACCAAACGACTAATGGAATGCAACGACATATTGATTTGAGTAAATTCCATTATTTCCTTTCATTTTAATTAATTAATCAATAAGTCATCAGGAAAGTGTTTCACTTTCTGGTTAAAAAAATCACACGAGTCATTGTGTTTCATAAGTTCATTGTTTCATAAGAAAAAGTAACTAAATAATTATATAAAAAGTCATCATTACTGTTATGTACGTAATTCATCTAATTATGCATAAATCTATTTACTGAAATTCAAATTACAATTATACATCATCACTCGATTACCTATGAGTGAAATAAATTGTATAACAGACTGATCAATTGCAGTCTTAAACCTCAATGGGAAGATACAAGCCAAATAATACCAAGTGAATTGCATAATAGTGTTATTAAGGTATAATTGGTTATATAATTAAACCTTTCAAATCTTCTATCTCTAAATCAGCTTAATTTTATATTATTTCATCGAAATATAACTGAAAAATATCATTTAGTGATTAAAAAGTAATAAAAAAGGGAAGTTTTAGGCTAGGAATTTAGTATTTTAAGTACTAATCATTTAGTTATGATCATTCAATTAGTCCTCGAAAATCATACAATAAATAATTTTGCTTGAAATGATCATAGTATCAGTCTCAGTTCGACAAATTCAATTTCTCAGTCCTCTTTGTTTCAAAGTTTAAATTTAGAGACTACAGAAAGTACCATGACAATGAGTTCTAAAATTTTGAATTTGTGTAATTCCTTTTATATGTGTAAAGATTCCCCGGTATATACTCAGGAATTTTTTTTCTAATGATTTGATAGTATAAAGAAAGTTTTTCCTTTAATGAGTCAAATTTCTTTAATGTAAGTGAGAAACTACAGAGTACTGAGTATATATCAACGAAGACCATTCATTTTTGTAGGATTAAAAGTGTGATATTTAAAACTGATGACCAAATGATAACCATTTCATTCTGGTCTTAGATACCTCAACGAGGCACACTTAAGGTCCTAGCAGAGACCGAATCCTTAGCCCTTACTGATCATATAGACCATAATAAATTTAAATTGTGTCGAGATCAAATGATCGGTATATTTAGATTTGGTTGACTTGTGATATAAAACTACAATTAACATATGTTATTGATATTTGTCTCAGTTAAAACAATACAAAGTGGTCAGATTAAAAATAATTTATTTCGTCAGTTAAAATTCAGCTTGGTTCTTCTCTATTCGAATAAATCATTTCTTATATTTTTAATTGATATGTTGCATGACAGTAGGTTGTGAATTGCCATTGAGCGAAGCCAACTTTGTTACATGTGAATACACAATTAATATTGTGAACTCCCATGTATTGATGAATTCTGTTCTAGATTACACGGTGTGTGAACTGATTGGAATTATGACAATAAATTATCTAGTTGAAACTATTCCTCAGTCGTGTCCACTGAAAATTATGTATATGGATACCAAAGGTATAGTATAGTAGTCTAATACCCTTATTTCGACTGTATTATTCTTGTGCTAAGATTGTGTTATATTATGTCAAACAACGATTATTCATTTAATTGTTCTTTTATCACTATTAAGATTAGATTTTTTCCAAAAATGTCCCATAATTTGAGTAACAACTTCTGGGCTATTAGGCGTTTCGTTGATGTATACCCAAAAGTTTGGTGTGAATTGATTTTTTCTGTAAGTATGTTAAGTTTTAGATGAATGACACAAATTGTTAGGAGAATTATAAATAACCTTTCCTATTCATGCACGTTGATTTATCAAAGAAACAGATGAAAACAATGTTAATTAAATCCTTTTCTATTGACCCATTCGGTCCATCACAAACGATACGTGACCTGATATGGATGTGTATCGACAAGTGTAACCACATTTTTCATCAACATAGCAAGAGAAGTAACTTGAACAATACAGATGAAAAGGTCATGAACGCAATGATATTGATTAAAGTAGAGGTCTAAACGTAAGAAACATAATTCAAAAGGAACAAATATGATAAAGAAATCAAAGTAGAAAAAACGAAACTGAACTCAATTTTTAGGAAAAGACAAGAAATGAATATAATCAAATAGATTTTTGGCAGTGATACTCCGTATTTCCATCTATAGGTTGCAGTTGTCATACAAATGCCAGTTTCGAATTTCGGGATTATAGTTATACCACCATATAACATTCAGTGACTGATGGACTGATAGTGTAGTCTAAAACTCACTCTAATGTATTTTTATTATAAAAACTAAACATTCTTACTTTTGGTATTGACAGAAGACCGATTAAATACTTCTGGTTTAATTGGAATCGGTTGTAAAGCTGATAAAACGTTGAGCTTGTTTCCTTGGTGATACAGTTGCTGTGGTAGCATCGGTGATTCCGTTTGTTGTTGGTGTTGGTAAATGCCTTCAGATTGAAGAAGTTCAGTTAGACTTTGTGTGACATCCTGTATTTGTGTGTAGGTCGCATATTGTAATTTGGGTCCAAATAATTTTTTAACAACTGGAGTAGTGCCTAGTTTAAATGTAGACGGTGTAACACACTTTGGTAATAAATTTGCAACATTATCATAATCACAATTGTCAGAATCATTTACAAATTTATCTGGCTGTTTGAAAACAGTTGGTTGATTTCTAATATTAATGCTGAACTGATTTTGTACTGGGCTTTTATTGGTATTACACTTATTTTCTGAATATCCATAATGTAGACGAAACCAACAGGCTTTCGGATCGTCGTTAACATTTTGATTTGTGTTAGGATTAGAAGTATTTAAGTTTTTTTCAAATTTCAGTAAACCTTCCTGTTTATTTACTTCAGATTGCGTAGATTCAAATTCATAAGCAGACTAAAAATGAGAACCAATAATAGTAGCAATAATAATAAAATTGTATTTTCAACACTTCACAGTTAAAAAAACACTGACAATAGGAATGCGTAACATGGGAAGATTATAAATTATTTAAAAAGCGTAATGCATTTCTAACCAGTACAGTGAATCTGTGTTTTAGATGGTTTCGATTTCAATGATAAATAGTAATATGTTGATGACAACTAGATTCAAAAATACTGAGTTGCTATTACACAGGATAAATGTTATGACTAAGTGGCTCAAATCATTAGTATTCTAAACAGTAAATAAAAGATTGAAGACCTAACTTTTCTAATTCGATCTAAAAACTTATATTGTGCAGTGACAGCCAGAATTTGAGCACATAGTTCCTCTTATTTCCCACGGTTTAGAAGACATTTATTTATTTGGTAGTCGTAAAAATGTTTGGTTTAAATAACTGAAAGTGGCATTTTTTATAACTTTCGAAAGACGGTGTCTTTTAATGCCCCAAATAATACCTTAATTTGATAGGAAGAACAAAAATACTATATATGTAAAAGAAAACAAAACAAAGTCTTAATAAATTTCAGAGCTTAAAACTTTAGGGTTCTGATGAAAAGCAAGGCCTAAATGCTATATTAGTAATAATTCAAACTGAGGTAATATCGAGAATATTACATCACTAGTATTTAGTAGCTTACAGTAATCATCCTTGGATCGGAAGAATTCAAATTTACTACAGAAGATTCACAAACACGTGGTCGACGTTGAAGAAGTTGGGCAGATGTAGTATTTAGTGATGCAGAGGATCGTAAAGGCTGTTTCTGTTGGATGCTGATAATTAATTTGGAGCTTTCAGTTTTTCGCTTATTGTCCTTTTTATTCCGTAGAGAATCTTTCGTGATGCCTGGCGTTGTTGATTGTGAAAGAAGTGTAGTACAGTTTTCAGTGTCTGATACATAATCTCGATGACGACCGGTTTCTACAACTGTTGTTATTGTTGAAGGTGGTGACGGTGATGAAGGAGTTGTCTGAAATTTACAAACAAGTTAGATCCATATGATAAGGCAGACGATAATTTCTGTAAATTTAGAAGTTTATTTATTATGGTAAATTAATGTGCTGAAAAATTGATGAGAATAGTGAAGTGCTGGAATAACTTTTCATTTGACGTCAAAATTTATTAGTTGAGGTTATTCGACTAATCAGCCAGATACTTTAGGACGATATTAAGTGGGATGAGGCAACAAATAAAGTTGGAGATATCATCCACTGAGAAATAAAATCGATATTAAAAGATCTTATGTTGAATCTGGATACATAAACATTAGAATAAGAATAAACTACTACTAAGTACATTCCGATTATCAGTTATTGTTTGAAATATCTTTGAGTGTTATTGGTCCAAAGTACTAGTCATAGTAATCATAATAATACTTATAAGGGCTGTCTAGTTTTCACTTTAGGTTTTTATTAATAACCAATTTTTTCGTTTACATAAATTGTTAGACTACTGAAAAAATGACTCAGTTTCTTGAATAACTTAATCTACGTCATAATAAAGACAACATATTCACATAAGTGTTCAAATATAGACTAATTTGTCTGTTTACTAATAATGATCAGTAAATTGTAAGCATATATTATGATGCGTTTACGAATATGAAAATCTAACATTAATGTTAATTGTCAGACCCCAACTAAAATCAAGAGTCATACAATAGATGAACATTGTGTATGGCATTAATGAACACTAATCTCATAGATTTTTGCTTTCTTTTCAAACTCAGTGATACTGTCTAGTTAATAATAAATAATCGTCATTCTTTTGAAATATAAACCTTACAAATTAAAGCTACTCACTTTTGGTGTCTGCTTGGTGCTAGATATTTGTTCGTTTACAGAGCGTTTTACTGAAGGGTAATTAACTGTCGTTAACATGGAACATGAATAAAGTATTTAAAGCAGTGAGTAAGTGTCAGTAGTTTTGATGAAATACGGAGTAATAGCTGTTTTATGAAAGGATGCATTCAACATCAGTAATACTAATAAGATATATAGTTGAAATAAAAAACCTATCACCTTCATATATACCGGAAGAGTTAGAGCTTCATTCAATAAATCTTTGGTTTTAAGTTAGTAAATGCCAATTGAGCTATTTTATCAAAATATTTGATGACTTTAATGACTCTTTAACACAAAAATATTTCATGCGTAAGGTGCTTCAAACAATAATCGTGACATTAGGACTATATCAAAACATATTTTCACTGTTTTTTGACTAAAATGTTGATCAGAATCGCTACTCTCAGCCAGGTGATTGGATAGTTGACAAGATGCTCTTTAGTGTGTTTATTTTTAGTGTCAACCAGCAGAAATGATCAATATTTCACACTTTTATAAAAGTTATGAACTCATTTTAAAATAGTTAAGTAACTGTCCGCCAAAATCAGTTAGTATACAAAACACCACATTTTTAGTTTGATTGTCAATTATGTTTTAAAACAATGACAATTATAGACACGTACTTCAATGTAAACACATAAATTTATATCCACAAAATAAGAGATTCAGCAGGAGCTGATGACCATTTCCCATAGTTTACTTGTGGGGCACTGAAACTCTCTTAATTTGATCTTTACTACTTGAACTGAGAAGTTTGTATAAATCCGATAATGGGAATAAATTTATACACAGAATTCATGAACACTGTTTTACTTCAAAAAAAAACTTTTAAGTAAATAAGGATGGAGATAAAGACAAATCTAACTTCATAAAGGTGAATTAGCAATCTAGCGATAGATTAAATGACAATCATATGAGTACGTATTAATGATATGCCCAAACTAAAATAAAACAATTCTTCAGTGTTTCTAAACTATTAAAACGTCTCTATGTGATATTCAACTGCGCTCAATGTTGCTTTCATTTAAACAGTTAGACAAAACCACATAGGTAAATATGGATATTGGATAGCATAAATTGTTTGTTAAGTGTGATGGAATAGATCCATAAGTCTCGTATGATGGGAAAGAGAAACAAACGAATTGCTGTTTGTTTAATCGGAAAATTTTCCTTACTTAACACTATGTTCTGCAAAGGATATTTCATCAACCAAAAAACGGAAATAGTGGTTCGTGTTAGTTCATCAAAAATCTATGTTGGACAAATCTGGCAAATGTTGGTGAATGGGTAGATCCAAAACAAATAACATTATCCCTGAGAATGAAACTGTATTGTGAATTGAAAATACTGATTCAGAAAACGACTTCATAAGGAATCTAGATAGTGAGTAAAACATTGAAAAAAAAATCCACAAACTTATTTAGAATTTTGAAACCTTTTCCCATCCATCAATTCGTGATTTAGTTTTTATAAAGTTAGTGACTTTAAGTTTCACAATCATTACATTCTTGATAGTACATATTTCGCTACAATATGGTAATAAGCTAGAAATGAGATCAGATCTAGTTGTTGATAAATGATTTAGAATCCTTATCAAGATAGTTGTGATAAGCGTTATTCATTTAAAATCTTACTAAGTAAGCTTTATGACAATAGTATGTCAACTGTTTACTCGTTCTCTCTAGTCATTTATTCCCCGAACAATTTAGGAATATCTATTCTAAACTCGATTAACCAATGGCAAATAGAATATTGCAAAATTGATCATTACTAAGTATTACGTAAATGTTTTTAAGTTAACATATTCATGAGAGATTATTTAAACCCATTTACTGGTCAATTGATTAGTCACCAAAAAAAAAAAATTAGTAAATATCTATTATAGTTTCCGTAATCTGTATCTGATTCTATTTTATAAACAAGAATACCAAATTAATTCTTATAATTGTCACAAAGAAAAAATGGTGAATTAGTAACGGGAAACATTCATCTAAAATTATTATTAATAATATGAATTCAAACTATATTTCTACTAGTCAACCAAAGAAACAGCAGGTATAACTAACTAATAAATCATTAATACATTAAAACAAAAATTTTCAAGGCTAAATACCATTTTGTAAAAATATAAATTTGACTAACAAATATTTCTAAAAAGTGGATAGATTACAAAGTAATTTATCGAAAGTCACTCTTGGAAGTTAAATAATCATAAGTTTTGAGGGTATGGGTGAGATATTTATGACTAATAAAATACCATTTACACTTATCGATCAGTGCCACATGATCAAAATGACACCATAATCTAATTATTACTAAATTGTTTAGTGTGTTTATTTAAGGCGGGATCAGCATTGATTCACATTGTTCATTTTATCAAAACTATTAATACTATTGGTTTTAATGGAATTAATCGGTTTGTAAATGTTTATTAATTTCAATGGTTAAGATCATGAGTCATTTGAAGCTAGACCATCATGGAAAACCTAGAAGCACCGGATTAGTTGAAGTTAGACATAAACACCATGGGATGCCGGCTCAGTGTTCTAGTGGTTAAGTGCCCGCACGCGAAACCAGTAGGTCCTGGGTTCGAATCTCACAGGGGGCACTGCTGAAGAGTCCCACAATAGGACGAAACTGCCATCCAGTGCTTCCAGGTTTTCCATGGTGGTCTAGCTTCAACTGACTCATGATCTTAACCACTGAAAGTACTATAATATCCACAAAACCCATCTGTTATTAATTTGTTAATTGTGAAAAATTCACTTAAAAGAAAAAGGTTGTGAAAAGTATAAATTTTGATTTAGTAACCATGTTTTAATTCTGATCATACACTGATCAAATCTGTCAATTAGAATATATTAAGGTGTCCATTGACTGGTATTTTTGTATACATGTATTATGATGAATAAATAATTCCACTTATTGACTTTAGGGTCACCTAAGCTAAATCCAGTCTATCAAACAAACACAACTTAATTATTAATCAGGTTTCAATTTATTTTTTTTCGCTGAAAAATTCCCATTATATTCGTTCATACAATTGTGATTTGTTTTTTTATTATCAAGTACTATGTTCGTGATGCATGACAATTAACACTTCTTCACATATACCTTTGAACTTGATCTCTTATCAATCTAAATGTATTTCATTTCTATGAAACAAGTAATTGTTTACATGATAAATAGATTCCATAACATAAAGCTGGTGACTGGCTGGTTTCTGATTATGAGAATGACGATGATGATGATATTACCAATGTTTCTAAAATATGATAAGAAATATTAAAAGTAGTATAATGAACTTCCTAGACCCTATTCAATTTGATAAGAGATTTATAAATCATAGCATATAACCATGATTAGCTGATCATTGTGTTGCACATTTCAATCAGAAATGAATAATAATCAAACAGTTCCCGGAAAAAGTAGGCAATAAATACTCAGTTTCGAAACTTTAGCTTATGATCCTCCTTTAGGATGAGTAAAATTTATAACTTTCTGACGCGTCGTTAAGTACACTAACTTTATAAATAATAGGTAAGATCACACTAAATGTACACCTTTCATAGTTTGCTGTTGCACGACTGGTTTTGGACATTTATGCTCATCAATTAGAAATGTTTATTAATGAGGTTACGTCTTTGATTTTGCATATCTGACACGTCATATGTATTTCTTGATTATCAACAAATATTTATAATAAAGGATACCAATAAGAAATAATACTGGTAACAACGAGAGATACTCGTCGCATTATTAACTAAAATAATGAAAGATATATAAACCAAGACGTTTTCTACTATGCTATTTTTTGAAGCCGTACAATTATCTGTTAAATAACTGTCTAAGGGGTGATGAATAATGTTAAGTACTTTGCGTGATAAGTATGTGACAAAAATGTCGACTCGGAGAACATGAAGAGACAAGTATGAAAATAAAACTTTGAGGTAGCAGTGACAAATAAAATATGAAAAGGGAGTAATGGAAATTGATTACGAGGTATGAAATATTAGAAGAATGTCTGGATAGTCATACAGCTCGGGCTGGAGTTAAGTTTAAGGTTTTGCGCTCGAGACCGGATGTTCTGGGTTGGGATCCCACGTGCGGAATTGTAGATGCGTACTGCTGAAGAGTTCCATAGTGGGACGAAACAGCCGTCCAGTGCTTCCAGGTTTTCAAGGGTGGTCTAACATTGATCAATTCATGATCTCAATTAAGACTCATTACTTTCCACAGCCCTATACTGATAAAACCATTGTAATCCACAAGTTTCTGATCCACATACCTTTCATCTTTACGTATTTGACTCTGCGGATGCATAATTTCGGTGGGATATAAGTTATAGTTATGTGAAAGGTGTTCCAAAATAAATCCGCTGATTCACATACACTTTCGTCGTAATGGACGATTAATAATTCCCATTTAAACATTAAAATTAAAACACGAAGTTCAGCGAAGGGATCTCTTTTCAACGAATTTATTATCAAGCTGTACAATCGTATATATATGAAAATTTTGTTTTTGTAAAAGTACTAATTCCGTGAGGAAATGTGAACAGAGTTAATAAAAAGGTTATAACACTAGATTACGTAATATGAATGATAACAATAACAATAGATTTGGTGAATATAATAAGATGATTAAAATGATTTTGTTATATTAATTAAAGGTGTCAAAATAAATAGGGTGATATGATGAGCACTTACGAATAAAACAATGAGAATATAAGACATAAGTAAAGGGGAGAATGCAGTAATAATAATATAATAATAATAATAATAGGATAATCAAAATAATTAAGGCCAAGGTAACGATAACGATAAGACGTACTTCTTTTGTACGCATAGTTCTGATTTAAGCTCCTGGATGGTAAGAGCTTCGGCTATTTTTAAGAGTTAGATGCGAAGAAATCTGGGTAGATTTGAACGAGTCATATAAACAGCCTTAAATTCTTTTTTTTTGATCTGTAGAATGGTTACAGTCAATTAGGTGTTCAAGTATAGAACTCCTAACTGCTTTCCTTTCACCCTTATAGAACCAAGCTGGGATATGTTCTCTTTAATTATTATGACAAAAACATTTTAATCATCTTATTATATTCACTAAATCTATTGTTATTGTTATTATTCATATTACGTAATCTAGTATTATAACCTTTTTATTAACTCTGTTCACATTTCCTCACGGAATTAGTACTTTTACAAAAACAAAATTTTCATATATATACGACTGTACAGCTTGATAATAAATTCGTTGAAAAGAGATCCCTTACTGAACTTCGTGTTTGGATGATAAATGTTATTCGCAGGGAAGTGATTAGAAAGCGCTCGCTTTCTTGGGCCAATACAGAACGCTTTACAAAAGCAAGTTAATTTGTCGTCACACAGTGATGTAGCTCAGATGGGAAGCTTGTTCATGACATGTCCAAACTTTATTCAAAAAAGTTGAAACACACTACAACACATTTACGATAAGGGAAATGAAAAAATATTTGATGATTATGTTTCTAAACAACAACTATCTTCGTAAATTCATCAAGCGACATCAAACTCCTCACTGAAAATGAAATCAAACATGGAAACTAGCGAACGAATCATCCTACCATACATAAAGGACTTTGAAAACCAAAACAAGATTATCTAAGCTGCTTGGAATAAGTGCAGTACAAAAGCGAAAAAAACACTCAGATATTATATAATCAAATGGTGATATGTGATATGGAGAGCCAATCAAAAGTAGCCCAGTGAGAAGGTCAATTGATGACAATCAGAAGTGACTTAGAGGACAAGTCGTTCAAACAGCTCATATATACCCAAAGTTTGTACTGATGATGTTCATGAGAACAACAGAAAATTCCAGTTAAAAAATACCACCCAAATAATTTAATTGTACTACAAATCTTCTCTATTATATCAAAGATAGGATCATGCGAATGTCAAAAAAATCGCCACTGGACTAGGATATTCACTACCGTGCATCAAATACTGTAGAATAAATTTGTCAAGACAAAAAAAGGGGATCAATAGCTTAAGGTAGGAGAGATGACCATTTTTGTCAGTTAAATTGTTAAATACATCACAGTATACCCTATAATATAATTTTGAGAATCATGTCCATAGTTAAATTTTAACTCATAGGTACTATCTCACTGACTGATGTTCTAAAGTTCAGCTTAAGATATTGTCTGATTGCTGAAAAGGAGATTGATGTATGTTGCTGAGGAACATTGAAATAGCTCTGCAGGATTGTAGGCACAAGCTATTACAGATTCCTCAACTGGAAGAAAACGGCTAGTGATCTTTCATGTTCATCCAGTACATTGCAAAAATGTCAACACACCTCTACATAAAGTACCTGGCTATACAATGATAATTGTTTACTAATAACTTAAGTTTGTGCTGCCAGTGTTATTTAGAAAGACAACGAAAATTCCCTGATTAAACTATCAACTCAGTGAAAGTAACTCCATCATAATTATAACTGATGGATATTTCATATGAAACGTTCAAGTAGAATAATAACTCAGAATGATTCTTTTGGTTAATACTTTGTTCTCTGAGCTGGATTGCCTATTTATGAAGTTGTCACTGTAGTTTTGGACGACATTAAAAGAAATTACCATGAAGAACTATAGTGGAAGTTTAACGGTTTAACTACCCAGTTCAATGAACACAATGAAACCAATAAGAAAAACAAAACACTATTTCATGTAATTTTTGCCTATCAATATCGTTTATCAAAGAAAAACATAGTATAAATAAATGATCACATTCATGGATTTTTGAAAAGATCGAACTGATATGATTTCATTTAATTTTAATTTTAACTGTATTGTTCCAATTTTTATTCTACAATTTAAAACTAATAATCACATTAAAAATTCTTTTAATTAACGCAACAAACACCATGTGATGTAAACATTATAGTGGTAATAAGTTGTACTAAAATAAATCTATATAATTTATCCCTTGTCTCTGATCAGTTTAGTTTAAACGTAACTCATCAAAGAATAATGTTTCAATATTTTCAACTTCATAGTAACATCAACAACCTTTATACCTAGATAAAGACATTAGTTTTTAGAAGGAATTCATACTAACTAAATGAATAGGAAAAGAAAAAATAAAAGGAAGATAGATAAGTGAACGTTGAATACCATGTGTGTATGCATATTTATTTCTTTTTCTTTTTCTTTCTTTTTTTTTAAAAAAAAGAAAAAGTGTAACAAATAAAAACTTTTCTTTTCAATATATTTCTCATGAACACAATTGTAAAAGATTGTTCTTTAACTAAATGATTATTAAACACATGTACACACAAATAATCCGTTCTTATCATTATCATTATGAAGTTAGATTTCTGAACATACACTAATAATTTATTAATTTGAACGTTTAATCACCTTAATGATTTATTTAGAATCATAAGAAAAAAATGCCAAGTAAGTAAGTAGGCAAAAAGTTAATTATTTAATACACTCAAAAATGAAACTTAGAAAAATCCATCTCAGTGCTTTATAACACTGAAAATGGTATATATATATATATATATATATATATATATATATATATATATATATATATATATATATATATATATATATATATATATAGTGAGTCGCTTTATCACAGCTACTAACTTCATAAATAATTGACCATTTAAGGGGATAACTCAAAAGTAATTTTCAACTTCCTCATCAAAAATTGTTCAGTAATGTTTAAATTGATAAGTGTCATTCTACTTTTATTTGTATTTATCAAGAATTTCCGGTTATCAACCGAATCATATATGGATTACATTTTATTTAGTAAGATCTACTGAGTAATAATTATGTAGATAGTTTTATTGTTTTAATATAATTTGGCTGTACATTTCTATATTCTGGATAAAACTTGGCCAGAGTAGAATAGGAACACATAACAGAGTATTTTTTTCTTACTGAAATATAAATTCCTATTATTTATCTGTGATTAGTTAAGCCACTCATGTGAGGCTGATTATAGATCTACTGAATTTAGTTTTAAGAACAACATAATGAAGAACTCGAGCTACCTCATTATGTAATGTTTCACGTTGTACAGAGGTCTAGTAAGATTGAAGTAATCTGAAAGTAACTATTATTATGTTAATTTATAATTACATTCATGAAGTTCACCTTCCAGGTTCTAAGTTAAAATGCGAAAGAAGTTTCTGGTTTTAGAAAATAGCCACAGGTATTATATGCATCGATTGAATGTCAGTTATCTTTATAACTCAAAAGTAAAACACTGCTTACTTACTGGTGTTTCGTTTCTCATGAGAGATAAATCTATCCCCTCATAATCCGAAGCATACGTAGTCTGATATTGAATTCGAGAACTTTTGTTGATATTGTTACTATTAGTCGGGTACTCAGGTAATAAAATATTATTTTTGTTCTCTAAACCTGACTGCCTTACTGAATCATATGTCTGTTCATTGTTTGGTGCACTTGTACCATATAGACTGCTGATAAGATATTGTGTTTGGTTAGTTTCCAATGTGTCAGTTTTATTAGACAGTGAATGATTCTGAGGACTAGGCAGGAGTACGTTATGGTTATTTGACCGTGAGTTAAATCGATATGCATTCTGAGGGCTTAACGCGGTTGAGTTCGCATGTTGACATTCATTAAATGGATGAGTAAATAAACGATTTAACGAAAAGTCATTTGTCAGTAACTGTTGTCGAGGGATTAAAAAGTCATCGTGCAGTTTAGGTCGACCAATTAACACATCAGCATAACCTTGTACTTTATTTATTCTACTGGAATTTATTCGTGTTGTAGGATGTGTTTTATCATTTGAGGTAACGTTCATTTTATTATTTAATTTTAATAAATCGTAGTCAAGAGTTGAATAATCGCTCATTTTTTCATTTGAATTTTCCAAAGTATATTCATTTTTCGGCATTATTCTCCAATTGGTTGCTCCATCAATTTTTACACAATTTGGCTTTTCTGTGACATATATGTTTGCTAAATTGTTATCGACCGGTTTCGGCAGTTGATTAGGCATCATTCCGATACTAATTGATATGAAGTTTGAACCGGCTGAAGTTGTTGGACCTTAATGCAAGAATGTACATAACACTATTAGTAACAACTACTCTGAAAAATGTTAGTTGATATTAAATAAATACAATAAAAATATACGAATAAAAAATATTTAATTGCTAAAGGCATCAAGAATTACTTATAAATACACGGCCTAACCTGATATAAGCAAGGATGGATAGTGGCTAACAGTGGAATCCAGGACGCGCAATTCGTCCTAATTGGAACTCGTCAGCTGGAAGTACCGGCATCTCAGAATTGATGCTCACTGAGGCACTCGAGCGCAGTACCGTTCGCTTCAAATGTCATCGCGTTATCCACCTAGATACTGAGTTCTGATAGCCACCTGATCAATTGCAGTACTAAATAACAATGGGAAGATACAAATAAACAACATCAAGTGAATATAACTTTACCCCATTGCACAAGCAGGTGGCTATCAGGACTCAGTAGCTAAGTGGATAACGCGATGGCGTTTGAAGCGAACGGTACTGGATTCGAGTGCCACAGTGAACATCAGCTGTGAGATGCAGGTACATCCAGCTGACCATTCAAAAATAGCACGAAACGCGCATCCTGGACTCCACTACTAGCCACTATCCATCTTTGCTTATAATGCTTGTGAATTAAAGCAATATCGAAGCAATACGCACAGTAAGCACACATGCCAATAAGAGACTGATCAATTGCAAACCTGAACATCAATGGGAAGATTCAAACAAACAATACTAAATGAATTTAACCTGATATAAGGTTATTTTGAAGAAATGTACACAATATGCAGTACATGATTATTATAATTATGAATTTAGTATGCTTTTAATAAAGCAAGAATTTTGTTAGACGGTTAAATTATGCGTTGCTTGTTCAACCCAGGATGTAGTAAAATTCTGGATGTGGATTCTATCATATATAAGATATATTAAGCGGATGCACTTGAGTCACATGTACTGATGTGATATCAGCTAGTTTTTTATCGATCGTATTTTGTTCTTGAATTTTCTACCGCATCATTATAAAGATCAAAGAAACGGAATGTAAGATAATTATATTATTTGAAACTTAATTAACCACAACATTAATCTTCTCGCCAATAAACAGATGAAATCGTCCCGAAAGGGATTTATGGAATGAAAAGTCCATGTGTAATAACTTAAATTTGTAAATCATGTTAACAACATCACTGATCAAAGAAAAGATGAAGATCATATTTAACTCTCTGACAGATATATCTTATAATTAGTTTTTTTACGAACTTAATCGAAAGCTGGAATAAAATAAATACGTCAACGAATTTACAATAGAATAAGCGTTTTTGACTGAATAGAAGCTGTCAGTAGTATGTTTTCGTGAGTTCTTTTATTACCAAAATTAAAAATTAATAAATATGATAATATATAGGTCTAAATAAACTAAATTTAGTCTCAAAATATACAAGTGATTTAAGTTCTAAAATAGAATATAGCATACTTCAAGCAACAATCACTAGCCTTGGAAACGACCTTACATTTGTTGGAACGAGAGAAAGACAAATCGACGATAATGGATTAACCTTTTAAGATTTATTGTGTAATTTGTTGAAAGCACTGATCATTCTATTGGGAATCGTTGTTCGCAGCAATACATACACACTGAATAAAAAGAAAACATGACTTCCAAATATTAAGGTTTACATGATACAAGGTCTATTTTAAAGAAACCGGATGTTATGTACTGAATGAAATTTATTGTTCAGGAAATACTGAAATAAATTATCTCACACTAGTCTCAGTATGACTTTAACATCATTAAATGACCTGAGGTGTCCATACTGATTTAAATAGGTATGTATATGCTTAATTATAACTAGAAGTAATTTCAGCTTCTCTTCTTTAGTGTCATTTTCAAACCAAACAGCTCCTAATGATGACTGAATCCATCTTTAGTGACCGGGTAATCTTTAGCTCTATGGATTTCTGTATTTTCATGGAGCTCGAGGGTGGTTCTCTCAAAAACGAGTAGTAAATGATATCTAAATGACTGTGTTATTAAACTAGATACTAAGCACCTCAACTATTGTCTGAAGAATCTTGATAATTGTGATCATCTGTGTTTAAAACTGACTGTTTGGCAAAATAAATTTGCTATCGACAAACATATGAAGGCTATTAGACGAAAGAATCCCTCATCCCTCATAAAGTATCAACGACAAGGTGTAATTCACAAAAAGCTTAAGGTATCAGGTCATAGGAACTAAAAGTTTTGAATAATTTTCAAGGAAATGACCATTACATAAATTTTACAACAAAATTTAATCGTTATATCAGTGAGTAACATAAACAAAACAATCCATGATTAGATGCTAAAATCTACTTATCGATAGAAAGCTAAATACATGATCAAATACTCTATATTTTGTTAAATTTTATTTTATATTTCAGAAAGGAGCGATAAGCAATCCATCAGTATAAATAGGTGACTGACAGCCATATTAATAACTTGCACAAAGACATATAAGTCAGTGTGTAAAAATATATTTAACCACAATAGCTCACTATATATATACTGCTTTGCTTAAAACAACTTAGAACTATTCTCATTAGTCTGTTGAAAGTAGACCGATCTGACCAATGGTATGTTAACAATTTCGATGAAGTCATTCTGATAAAGTAAATCGACCGTCTATATCAAAACAACATTTGGTGTTTGTTTATTTTGGCTGCAGATTTGCTTTCTTTTACCCACATAACCAGTGAATTTAAATGAAAAGGTAGTTACTAATATTGAAAAACTATGGAAAGCTAACGAATTATAACGTCGTTTCGGATTGTAACACAGTTCAAAAATATATTCTGTTGCCTGTTCTGATAATTTGAATGAAAAGAAAACATCAGGAAATTCAAAATAATCATTCGTAATGAATAATATAATGAAGAAAATTTACTAGAAGACAATTCACTGCTTACTGATAATTTATTATGAGCAAAACATTTTAAAGTTCTAAATAAACTATGTGAGTCGTACAGATATTTTAGTCTAGAGTGAGGATAGATAATCATGATTTTTGGTGGTAATCAAGCCATATTTAGAGTGAACCAAATATTGAAATTAAAATCTACTAAATTTCTACATGATAATTTAAAGGGAATAGTGCTTTTGCTAGACTTAAATGAACTACTCACAGAATGAGTTCTGAGTCCTAGGTCTGATCAAAATACTTTTCTCTTATAATCTATGCTATACACAATATTTCATCCCTCTACGGACATGACTATTCAACAAGAGGATTAGTCTATCATAAGGCTAATAGAGAATTACTCAGAAAGTTACAAAAAATTTAAGTCATATTATGGAGTAAAACTCAATGCTAATGATTTTCTAAAAGTTAAGTTTCTTATGAGAATTAAACGATGTATAATGTTACGGATTTTAATTTACCGCCATAAAATACTTACTGTGATTACAAAACTTGTTTATTTCTGGCATTTTTGTAAAGTTTTCTTCCAGAGAAGATGGTGTATCACTTCCAAAAATTGACGCCACCTCATCGATATCCGGGTCATTTCTTAGAGGAAAAACATTTGAAAATAGAGGATTCATAGATGTTGGGTAGGTTTGCATAAAATCACTTTCTTCGTCTGCGAATCGTACGGTTTTTCGCGCTATGCGAGGTGATTCGATATTTCTAGCTTCAGGAGATACGTAACATGTATTCATGACATGCTCATTTGAACTACTATCATCGCCAAAATAGGGTGAAACACAACCGATTTGAAAGCGAACTGTAGTGAGGTCAACACTGTCACGTGCTCCATGTAACGTATAATACATTTTGTCTTGAAAGGATTCATATGTACCATCAAAATAAGTCTTCGGAGAGAGTGGTCTTGATTTAAGAATACTTCTTGTATGTTTTGCAGCAGAAGTAATCTGTTGCTGTGGTATCGTCTCATCTTTATGACTAGCTTCTTTTTCTTCTGCAAAAATGAAACCATAAATATCTTCAGCTTTTATACTCTGTGAACCAGAAGAGTCGTAATTAGTTAATTCACAAGGTGTTGGCTGTAGCGTTGTGTTATTGACATCTAAAATTAAACTTGAGACTTCATCATCTGTACTGACTAGGTTGGATGGATTTTCGTCACAATCTTTCCCTTTTTCCAAAAGACCATACTGATCACCATTATCTTGTGTTTGCTGGGAGGTGAAGTTAACTGTATTTGCTTTAGAAGTAATAGAATCTTTAGCTGGCTGAGGGCAGTTCAATGTAGAAGGATTTAATGAGTGTTTTTCCTCTGTGTGTGGTGGAATTACGAATTTTAAGGTTTTTTGTGGTGTATGTATTGAAGTTGGACTTCGTGAAGTTAACTAAAAATAAAGGAAATCATAAGAAGAGTGGTGATGTTTAAAAGTTCTTCAAAAATTATGGGCATAATAAATAAAAGTAATGGTCTGTTAATTTATATCAACTTGTAATGAACAACACTACCAAACCACTATAATCTAAAAATACGACTTCAACACGCATCTTGGAAATACTCATTAGTAATTCCCTTAAAAATAAGTAGCCATCATTACTTTTAACTTGAAAATAAATCAAGTTAACAGCAAGGCTACTCAGTGGTCATGATGAACGGTGATTGTTTCATACAACCTGTCGCTTTTTATAGTTTATCTCCCATAAAAGATGAAGATGAAATTTTTAAACGATTGAAACCGATGATGAGTTCTATCAGTCTCCTACTTATACCTTGCTAATATATACTATACTCACCACCTTTATGTATAATTTATATCAAATCTGAAAACAAATTTAAATTATTTTGCAATATAAAACAATGATCCTTCTAATTAATGATATTATTGATGTTTAATTACTTTCATTGAAATCTTACCTTGAGTTTTCGCAGTAGAAAGGCATCACCACTTATCTCGCCACTGGAAAATCTCTTTGTTTTTCTTCTAAAATATTTTACCTGAAAAACGTTAGCCTAACTGTCCATTAAGTACCTTCATAACCGAAAACATTGATGTATGTAAAAATAAACCTCACTGCGGTATTTTAGACCTCCAAGTTTGCAGGGTAAATCGACTAGGTTGCTTATTGGTTGAATCACCAAGATTTTACTCTTGAGATCTCGAGTTCAAAGCCCACAACATCTGCTTCTGGCCTCTCAGTTGGATACGAACACTAATCCTAACACAAGCAGTTTGGTTCCTAGCGTTTTACACCAACTTTTCACCTAGTAAACGAGTTACATTATCGTTCACATACCGACATAAGTCACTTGATTTCATAATTGAAGATTTATATTATAACTCCGCCTGTAGCTCTTCTATACTTACTGCCGATCCCAAGCCCGAGTGAAGGAGTAGGGTTTGGCATGGCGTCGGCAAACCCATCCCGTAGAAAAAATCTTGCTAAAAAAACGTCAACCAGATTAAACAAATTAAACCATTTAAACTGTGCCCTGGGAGTTGAAGGAAGAATTATGACGCCTCAGGATGATAGCAAAGAGTCTTCGGAAGTCACGAGAACGATGCCCCTTCTAACAACCAGAGCAACAATTTTCATAGGAACATGGAACGTCCGGACAATGAAGGAGACTCGAAACACCAGTCAAATAGCAACGAAAATGAGGAGATACAAATTGGCAGTACTGGAAATCAGCGAAGCCCATTGGACCCATGCTGGACAGCAAAAGCTGGATACGGGAGAGATGCTGCTGTACTCCGGTCACGAAGATGGAAATGCTCCATACACTCGGGGTCATTCTAATGCTGTCTAAAGAAGCACGAAATGCACTTGTAGGGTGGGAATCTCATGGATCCAGAATCATCAAAGCATCATTCAAAACAAAGAAGGAGGGCATAACAATGAATGTTATCTAGTGCTAAGCACCAACCAATTATAGCGATGGAGACGATGAAGATCAGTCTTATGAGAGTCTGAAGTCGGTCGTAGAGAAGTGCTCAGGAAAAGACCTGACTATCCTGATAGGAGACGCAAACTCCAAAAGTGGAATGAACAACACCGGATATGAAGATATCATCGGACGACATGGACTGTGAGAGAGAGAGAGAGACGAAAATGGGGAGAGATTTGCAAACGAATGTGCATGCAACAAATTGGTTATAGGAAGCATAATACTCACACACAAAAGCATACACAAAGCTACATGGATGTCACCGAACCACACCACAGAGAACCAGAAAGATCATATTTGTATCAGTAAAAAAACCTGAAGGACAATGGAAGATGTGAGAAACAGGAGAAGAGCTGACATAGCTTCAGATCACCACGAACTGGTGTTTGCCAAGATGAATCTGAGGCTAAAGAAGCACTGGGCAACTGGAAGAACAGCATCACAAAGGTTCAAAACAGCCATCCTTCCACATACTGACAAACTCAACGAATTCAAGATAACCCTCAACAACAGATTCCAAGCCTTACAAGATTTACTGGAAGAAGAGGAACTACTATGGAAGACAATAGGAAAGGGATCAGAGAAGCTCTAACTTCAACGTTTCATAATAACGAATAGATCTCTGTGGAAACCCTGAACAAGATTGAAAAAAGGAAAAACAAGAAGATAGCAATTAACAACAGCCGAACAAGAACAGAGAAAATCAAGACACAAACTGAATACACTACAGCAAACAAACAAGTAAAGACGAGCGTTAGGGCTGACAAGCAGAAATACATGGAAGACCTAGCAACGACAGTGGAAAAAACTGATGGAGAAGGGAATATGAGACAACTATTTGACACGACGAGGAAACTGACAGGGAAATATAGTAAACGAGAGAGACCGGTCAAGGACAAAGAAGGCAGGCCAATCACTGAAATCCAAGAACAGAGCAACAGATGGGTAGAGTACTTTGAGGAACTGTTGAATAGACCAGCTCCATTGAATCCACCGGACATCGAAGCAGCACATGCAGACCTATTTATAGATGTCACTTCACCAACGACCGGAGAAATCTCGATGGCCATCAGATAAATCAAGAGCGGGAAATTAGAAGGACTTGGCAATATATCAGCCGAAGCACTGAAGTCAGATATAGATGCAACTGCAGACATGCATCGCCTTCTATTCAAGAAGATTTGGGAGGAGGAATAAGTGCCGACGGACTGGAAAGAAGGACATTCAATCGAGATACCAAAGAAGGGAGATTTGAGCAGATGTGAGAACTACAGAGGCATCACACTACTGTCAATGCCAGAGAGTCTTCAATAGAGTGTTGATTAACTGGATGGAAGACGCAGTAGACGTCCAACTTCGAGACCAACAGACTGGATTCTGTAAGGGTCGGTCGTGCACAGACCGAATTGGGACACTACGGATCATCGTCAAACAATCAGTTGGGTGGAACTCGTCACTATACATCAACTTCGTTGACTAGGACAAGGCATTTGATAGTGTAGATGGGAGAACATTATGGAAACTTCTTCGAAACTATGGAGTCCTTGAGAAGATTGTAAACATTATCCGGAACTTATACGATGGGCTACACTGCACAGTCGTGTACGGAGGACAGGTGATAGATGCATTCCAAGTGAGAAGCAGAGTCAGACAATGTTGCTTACGCTCCACCTTTCCCTTTCTTCTGGTGGTTGACTGAATTATGAAGACCTCGACATGTGAGGGAAAGCACGGAATACAATAGACAGCTCGGAATCAGTTAGACGATTTGGACTTCGCAGATGACCTAGCTCTTCTGTCCCTTACGCACGAACAAATGCAGATGAAGACAACTAGTGTAGCAGCAGCCTCTGCATCAGTGGGCCTCAGTATTAACAAAGTTAAAAGCAAGATCCTCAAATACAACACGTAGAACACCAACCCAATCACTCTTGATGGCGAAACTCTGGAAGATGTAGGAACCTTCACGTACATGGGAAGCATCATCGATGAACAATGACGATCGGATGAAGACGTGAACGCGAGGGTTGGCAAATCAAGGGCAGTATTCCTAGAGTTGAAGAATATTCGGAACTCAAAGCGGCTGTCAATCAATTTCAAAGTCAGAATCTTCAATACGAACGTCAAGACAGTCCTACTGTATGGAGCTGAAAAGTGGAGAACTTCTACAACCATCATCAAGAAAGTGCAAATATTTATAAATAGTTGTCTACTCGAGATACTCAACATTCATTGGCTGGATACCATCAGCAATACCATTCTGTGAGAGAGGAAAAACTAGCTTCCAGCTGAGGAGGAAATTGGGAAAAGACGTTGGGAGTGGATAAAACGTAGATTACGAAAATCACCAAACTGCATCACGTGGCAAGCGCCAACTTGGAATCCTGAAGGGAAGCGGAGAAGAGGCAGACCAAAGAACACGTTACGTTGGGAAATAGATGCACATATGAAAAGGATGAATAACTACTGAAAAGAGCTGGAAAGGATTGTACAGGACAGGGTTGGATGGAGAGTGCTAGTGGGCGACCTATGCTCCTCCATGAAAAGTAGCAGGCGTAAGGAAAAAGTAAAAAAGTACATAGTTTTGACAAGACCATTTTAAGAACGCCATGTTGTAAGAAAACTATGCTACTTCATATCGATATTTCTAATTCTTTTAAATCATTAGAAAGTGGAGGCATTATTCTTACGAAGTGAAAATATTTATGATTGAGGGGAACTGACAGTAGAAACAATATTGCATAGATACTGTACACGTAATCGTAAAATGTATTCTACAGTCAGATTACATTGTTAGTGTCTTACAAGAAACCAAAAAACGATAAGTCCAATATCACTCATGAAATGTATGATTACACCATTTATGAAGAATCATTTGTTTTTCGTTCATAAACGAGATTTTTAATTAATAAAATCTAAGGCATAGCTAAGTCGTTTTTAAACACACAAAATAATAATAGTATTAATAAATTAGCAAGAATGGACTTTCACAATTTTTAAGTGGTTATTTGTTGTTTTAAGGGTTGACAATACTGCCATTTATATCATACAGCCAATCATCAAAAGAAATATTTTGATTACAATAGATATGCTATTTATCATCCGTGTCAGATGTTTTATTAGAAACTGCGATCTCCCTGAGGAACATGAATGTATACTTTTTCCAATCCGTAAGAGAAGCAGGGTAAATCTAGTTAGATTTGAATTAAGCAATAATAACCATCGTAGCAAGACTTTATGAATTCAATGGCATCATAGAATAACTCCGGCTGCTTACAACGTAGAAACGATCGTAAAAACTATTTGGAATAGCTATATATATATAGTATGGTATCAGAAACGTATTTTAAAATGATTATCAGCAAAAATGTAAAAATATAAGAAATATTTATGTAGTTAAATTGTCACATGTTAAATTAGGTGAAATTCATGAAAAAACTGTTGTAACGTATCATGACAGGTTTATAAAAAAGGGAGTTATGTTGGGAGAAAAGTAATAATGGTCAAAAGAATAAACAGATAACTGGGCAAGAAGAAGAATAGAAAAAATTATATATAGGTTTATGGAATAAGATGTAATCCAATTAAATGTTCGAAACCAAGATCACCAGAACGATTCGAGACTTACAGTGCAGCCTTTTCAAAATCTAGAAATCCCATTTAAACCTTCAAACAGTGATAGATTTGACCAGACGCAATAAATTTAAGGTTACATTCTAAACGATTATCCCAACGGATTTGAAGATTTCGATAACGAATTCACTTCTGGATATATTATGAGGGATCACAATGTCTTTTTCAAGTTAATTATTAGTTGTAGAGCTTGCAAAAAAATTGGATCACTGTTATTCTGTCACGACAACTGTTTCTATTTTATTTAGTTTGAAATAGGCTGACATTCACTCCCAAATTATATTTATAATTTTTTCCCACTCAGCCGGCGATTAGTTTTTGCTTTGATAGTGCCAAGTGGATAAAGCACAAAACATATGAAATCTTCGTCTCAACATTGACTAAATTTGAGAGACGTACTTGGAGTTCTAGCAAGTTGGCATGAATGTTTTGTGTTTGTTGTGATGCTTGGTACTTTGGGTTTCACCCCATGTAGAATCAGTGACTCACATTGTTGTGCAGTTAAAACTAGAACAGAACAGCTTATAAGTGTTTTATGGTTTTCAGTAATTTACTATCTGTTTTCAATCCAGGGAAAAGGCTATTTTAAACAATCTCCATAATTTCTAATTTATTGTAGTGCGACATATTTGTTCATCCATGATTTTTTAAGCATTCGAAGTTCGGTAAAATCTTATTCGCAACAAACAAAAGAGTGACATTCTCAAAACCGTATAAAAGATATGAATCTTGAATGAAACTTCACTAACATTTTTCTATTTAGTGCCATTATAAAAAACAACACAAAAACATAAAATTATTTAGGAAAGTAAGACTTCTATGACAGTTCATCTGATTTTCTGCTGAATAACTGAATGAATTTAAGGTGAATTGCGGCAGTGAAAAGGGTTTTCTTTATGTATACTTGAATTAAATTTCTGTCTCAATAAAATTTTTCCTGCTAAATTATATTTTTTAAACATCTTCTTAAGCTTAGATCGGAACGTAAATTCCGGTAGTAAACCATCCAGTTTTACTAGTGTGCTCAAATAACCCACTGTAACACAATATACTTATCTTAAACGCGATTTTCCTTTATGTCCAAATACTTCGGAAGTACGCAGAAAAACTGGATTATTTTAAGGTTCTAACAATTATTGATCATATATTTACTTTCCTTTTAAACGTTCTTTTTAAACCTTACCGTTCACTGAATTATATATTTTACTTCCCCAAAGCCACATCTAAAAGATAACTGACTCAGACGTTCAGCTCAAATTGTTAAACCATATGCAACAGTAAAGCTATCTCTGTGTTCTAACATTTTTATTCACCTTCTCAATTTCAATATAATCCTTAGACGTTTGCTACCGAACTCACTTTATCCTAATTTCTATCCTCAAATATTATGTAGACAACCACATATCAAAATCTTGTAGCTTATTATTAACCGTATATGTACCTGCATTCTTACTTTACTCTCTATTACATCTCTTAATAGTTGGGATTAGTTTTTAAAGTAAAAAAGTTAAGTCCATCATACTAGACGTCATTTTAAACGCTAACTAATTGTTTTACCTTTTCTGCCTTGAGATGCATCCCCACCAGAGGTAAACTTTGGAAAAAAGCTCAAATAAATCCAATAGTTATTTAAGGCATTATCAGCCGGATATGTCTTTATATATGTATGTTTGTTACAGCATAGATTTTAAACAAAAGAAAGAGTTGATATAAGAATTAGGTCAAAGTTTGAAATTTGGCTGGAACATTTGTCAACGTTTTTCAAAAAAATATTTGGCATACTATTTTGGACAAGCTATTCAAAGTACTGCATTGTATTCAGTCAAAATTTATCGATGAAAACAAAAATTAAGTGATGGAAAGAATGCAGACTCACGATAGGGTTTGTCTACATTTTCAATAAACTTAAAGAAGACGACAATTTTACAGAATATATTGTCTATGGTTTAAATTGAATTATCACTAAGAAATAAACAATTTATATTTCGAACGTTTTCGTCATATTAAACGCCTCACAATCTATCTCGATTCTCACCATCTCTTATTAATTAATTCAGATTTTATAAAATATAGATAAAAGACTGGAAGGTTTTAAAGTAATTTCTGTTAAATCGAATGAATGAGTGGTGTTTTGTCTGTTCAAATCGTGTGGCTTTTGATCAACAATCAACTAATTTTACGTTTTAAGTCGTAGCATATTTATACCAAAGAACAATTTGTGAGAGTCAAAACACCAAAAATAGTTGAACGAGATGGATAGGTCTTGGGCTTTGATTTCACACGTGTTTCCGACTTCAAAATAACTTGATCTTTCGACGTATTTATTCAAAGTAAATACGACAAGATTTGTAGAATAAAGCAGAGTAATCTTGTTTACTGGATTCTCAAAAGCTTCATATGTCTCAAAACGCAAACGAGAATATGATAGTAGCTTTTAGTGATATCTATATTGTTTCTCATAGCTTTGGGCCTTCTAAAGCTTCTGAGAATAGAATAAACTTATTCTATTACCGGAACCTTGATCCATTTGGGTCAAAGACAATAGTGGCTGAATTCTTCACGGGATGATCTTAACTTGGAACTTAGGAGGAACTAGGCGGTTGTTTCGTCCTAGCAAGGGACTCTTTAGCAGTAAGCGTCAACGATACCGTCAATTATTGAACACAGGGCCTCTAATCTTGCACGCAAGTCCTCGACTTCTGAATAGGGAAACCGACATTCAATGGTATACGGTTCTAGCCATATTTTATTGATCGAGGTAGGCAACCACATCACAAATGCTAACTAAATGTAAAACTAACTGTTAGCCGAAGGTGTGGAGATAGAAATTTATTCAAAAACAAAATGAGATTACATTTATCATTAATTATTTAATCACTAGTAGTCTAACTATTTTTTTCAGTACAAAAAATAAAACTTTCCACATTTTCACTCACATTCAACTGTTATTGCTATTTCTGACTAAAATCTGAACAGTAGGTTTTTGAGATTTAAGTTACGACTAAATGACAAAGAATGGGACAATTATGCTCATCAATCTCTGAAATATCCGAGAAACATGGTTTATTGATAATTTGAACTAATATACGTACAAGTTTGGAGCCCGTTCTATTTTGTAAATGAAATAAGACGAATGTTTCACTGAAGATGACACAGTTTTTCGAAATGTGTAGACATGCACCCATTAACTGCATTTCTTTATGGGGTTTTCCTCCATTTAACGTGCTAGTTCATGTAAGCAGGTATTTAAACACTTATCAAGAATACAAAAAACCTAAAAGCTAACCTGATTTAAATAAAACAGGGAACGTTAGGGTTTTTTAAGTGTTTTGTTTGGTTATCCTTAAAGGTTTATGATTGTAAAGCTTGAAGTCATTTAAAAACCACTCGGATCAAGTGATAATCATATTTGTTGGAAAAGCAAATAAATGAACCTTAAATGATTTTAGATTAACCTACATCATTCAGCTAAGAATCTTAAAATTCGACATGCAAAAGCATTGATAATTTAATATAAGAAAATTAATTGACCAAACGACAGTACTGATTTAAAGGAGAGACGATGTGTTCAAAATGGAATACAATACCATTGAAAGAATTTATCCGGAATAGCGACAACTTTGTTTCACACATGTAATTATGAGACAGTTTAATAAAAGACAACTAAAAGCATACCAACGATTATGAAAATGATATAGTATGGTTAAAAGAATTAAATTTAGAAAAAAACGAGAAGAAAAACATTTACGAAAATGTTGAACTGACCGATTCATCAACTTCTTAAAAATTATTTCCACTCATATTTATTAGATACTTAGCTTAATCGAAATGATCTAAGGCATTTTCGCGTAAAAATGTCGACAATACTGTAGAAATAATTTTTGGGTCCTTATTACAAGTTTTATGAGAATCACGTTACTGTACCGGACTGATAAAATGAAGGATTTCTAAGTGAATAACATATGATTTTCTTTATTTTGCTCTGTCTATTTTATAAAATATATTTATGAATGGGCTGTTCACAAGTCTCACACCTCCGAATCTTGTCATCAATGTCTCTACAACAGTCTACGTGAGACAGTACAGATTCACTTGCCTAAGATCTCTATTAGCTTTACATGAATAATTCCTGGAACTGACTCATACGTTGCTCATTACTTGCTTGACTGATTCAACAATAAAATGAGTACATCCCTTCTTTAAAGATGGAAAAAAATTATTGGACCCAAGAAACACAAAATAATGTCCTATAAAATATGGAAAATTTTGTGCCTACTTTTGACTTCAAAGGCATGTTGAAAGCAGTTTTCGAAATAACTAGACGCCAAAATAATAGTGTAATTTATGTAACTGAGTTAATAAAACAAAAGCTAGGTCACGAGTAGTGTTCACAGAAAGATAACACAACCACGAAATTGTTAGCCAAGAATATGTTTTCATTTTAAATAATCTCATTCCGTTGAATCCACATGAATCGAATGTTCATGTTAACCAAATTATCATTACTCTTGTGATTAGTACGTATTAACAGATTGAACTATGCTCACCCACTCTTTGCTGTTTCGATGAAGTTTCAGGTTTTGCTAAATGTCTAATGGTTGGTTATTTAACCACTCAACTGCCAATTCTAAAAAGTCTTGTAAATCTTGTATTTTGTTTGCGTTTGTCCAAATGATTTGCTGTAGATGATGTGATAATCAATTGGTAAGTATGCCTTTGGTAAGACCACTCTTGGAACTTTCCACTAAGTGGACAGTGGTTACTTATGCTCGAGGTGCAATCTAGATGGAAACATTTTTTAATGAGGATAAATGAGATCGTATGTGGGTTTTCGCTCTTAGGTGTGTACATTTTCAGCGATTGCATCGAGAGGCATAATGACGTTCTGATGCAATATTTTAACTGGGGTTTTTCGGTGTGCCTAGTATGTTTTAGACAATTATTAGAGCAATGTTTTGTTCTCCTGAATCTCAGTAAAAATAACCCCATTTGTCATGTTCTTCCTTCGTGAGGCTCGTACTGTAGTCCTACCACCCCTTAGTAGACCATCTCTTCACTTGTTCCAAGAGATTTACGTGTTACTTGAAGAAATTCTACGAGTGCTTCTGTAAATTGTGGGAAACAATCGTAAGGTGACTGCGGGTGAGACTTCTCGTAAGTCGAAAAATTATCCTCCTAAATGTATCGCATGGCCAGTTTCGTCTGTCGTTCGGATTTATGCAGACTAATGTTGTCCAATTTTCGGCGGATGACATGTTTTTTTTCGCGACATTCTGTCTTTCTTACTGGTCTGAAGTTTTTTACATCAGTGAGAGTTGTACTTAGAAATCATGTGCAAAAGAACCGTCAATTACCACATTACCTCATGTTGTCTTCCCATAAAGTGAAGAGTTGGGTCTGCTTTGGTTGCATCCCCCAATCTAATTTGTACTACCATCTACGCTCTTCGTAACAACTAGCCCCACACCGAGCTCTGAAGAGACAATAAGTAGTGGTTTTTTATAGATTATGTCATCGAAGTATAATCTTTTTGGTTGGGTTGATAGCCGAAGGGAAATAATATTCTACATATTTGTTTCAAAAATGTCTGGATAAATACGATGTTCGCCATCAGTTTGGCATTTATATTAGGTTGTTTTTGCCATGTGTAAATTCACATGCAGATAGATATCCTGGCCTGTATTGGGTATGCTATTCTGTTATCATGCTTAAGGAGGATCGGATTGATCAGTTCATTGTCTTTTTGGAGAACCATGGCAATAAGTCAGCTAAACCTTCAAAAACACTTGTCATTAGTTTTGTAAACACAAATTTGATGCATCCGGGTCAGACCATACTGGCGCAGAATATAATAAAAAAGACGGGAAAGTTTAAAAAGATGCTCGAACGGAAGCTTTGAGGAAATGAAGATTATATTACCAAGCTAACGATCTGGAAATGGGAACGGACCTATGCCGGAGGGGTCGGAAAACAGTGAACATGATTGACAAGGCTCTTTCATATGGTAGTGGCCCATAAATCCAGCAGAGTTAGAAGGACTGTAAAACGTGCATATAGCTTCTCGATATGAACAGTCAATCACCTCAATATTTCCATTATAGTGGTTCACTGAGGTAGTTCAATAAAAATTTACCTATCTACATCCTTCAGAAAAAGAACTGTTATAGGTGTTGTTCTATGGAAGCAGTCACGATTTGTTTCATCTCACTACGCTCCGCTTTTTCAACGTTCACAACTTTAGTGTCACTGAGCTTAATGACCAAAATTCCAGTCTGAATGCATAATGGACAAGACAGAGATTAATATCAGATGGGTTTTTGTGGAGATTGTAGTAATTTCAATGGTTAAGATTATTCGATTAGGCCAAACTACATTCTCCTGTATAGTGTACGAAGCGCTTTGCAACGACACTTTATAAATTATATCAAAACACAAACACAGTACTCGATTCTAAATGTTATTTATTAAGCAAGAAAAAGCATCATATAAAAAGTATCAAATCCCTAGAACGGTAGAGCTTGTGAAATACAGTCAAAGGTTTCTGTAGTACAAAATAACTTGTTAGACAGAAAAAGCGATAGTAAATAGATAAGAGTTTGATGGCTAGAAATCACCATATTGTCAACAAGGTTGGATCAGATATCTCTCTCAAAGGATTCCAATAACCTTAACAGACAAACAGTTATGCATCAAGCTACACCGAGTTTATTTAAGCACGCCCTAATGTCAATAATCCAGCATCATGCAACAAAATCAAATAGTGAAACCCAAATAATTCTCTAATGTCAAAAAATAAAAGCGTAGACAAGGAAGATTGAATGACTTAAATTGTGGTTAGAAGAGATCTGAGTGAAAGCTAAAATATCGGAGATGAAAAAGGAACAAATAAATGATAATATTACCCAATAAAATGCTTTCGAGGGACTTTCAATCTGTTCATTTTGTTGCACTGAACAATATCAGATTTTTGGCAGCTGTGGAATACGTATATAACAGATCATTAAATTCACTGATAATTTGATGTCCCGGATTTTTATTCGGTTTATTTATTTGTGCTCTGTTCCTCTATCTTGTTGTGCAGTATCTATGAGAATCTGATTGTGTATTGTTATTCCCCAATCAACAGCTTAACAGTCCCAATATTATTTGTTATTTCTGTCTCAACAGCCATCACCGTCATTTGAGTGTTCTAAACTTCGAAATGCTTCTCAGTAAAATAAATTATCAGTACGTAACCGATCAGACTATATCAGAAAAGTCATTTTTATATGTGTGCATGAATAAGTGAACAAACATCTCCCTGTGAGTTGTTGATTTATTAGTTCAAAATCCATTCTGCATGTTTTCGTGTGAATGTGTATGAAAATTTATTACGTTCATGTTCATCGGAACATAACTAGTTGTATATGCGCAAGTGTAAGTTTGTTAATCTTAAAACCCTTAAATTTAAAAATTAACCAAGTTTTTGGTTTGCATGGGGTAAGTTTGATTTATGTGACAGTAAGTTTATTCTTCCGATCGTGTTCTTACTCTTTTGTTGTTTTGAACTGTCTGTCGTGATGTGATTTATTCTACAAGTAGGTTTCAGTGTCAGCCAAATAGTGGACTTTTGATTTTCACTGTTTATATGATTGGGAAATCTCTAGAAGACAGAAATAAAGTTTTTGTTAAACTAGCCCAACCACTGTGTTGTTTTTTTACCTGTGAGGAAAGACGAAAATTCAGTGCTTCATTGGGGAGTTGTCACGATTGTGGCTACATAATTTTAAGTCCTGCAAATTGCACTTCTTTGTTTCTGCCTGAACATAGCTCTGCTTCCTCAACTGTTTGATTGTATTACCTTTGCCCTACGGTTAATTCTGAAATCACCTTTGCTTTGTCCTAGTTTTTTTATTTTGGTCGTTTCTTTGATTCCAGGTCGTCTTTCGCCGACTGTGCTAGTCTTGATTTGCGCCGAAACAAATGGCATTTATTTACTACCTACTTAATGAACCATCTTTCTTTTTGGGAAGCAACACTACTGTGACGAAATATAATAATACGGATCTCAGATTTTTAAATAATTCATTTCGCATTCGATTGTATGAAAATTTATTGGTGATGATTGTCTGTGTAGACTCTTTAAAAAATATTAAAGTACGTTATATCTATTTTTTATGGATAAATTTATTATAAATTAGTACCATGGTACTGTTGAATCGACATGTTATCTGGATTTATGTGTTCGTCACTGTTATATCAACCACCTATATCGACGATCAACAATATTCACGTAAACCAAAATTAACTCTACACATTTTTAACCAGTGAATGCCATATTCTTGATATCAAGAAAACCTTTTAACTTGATGATGTATTTGTCTTGAAATTACCCTTAAAAGCTGCAAATAGATCACTTAATATATTTATATAGGCGCTTATCAGAATGTGAGTTTGTTTGGATCTGGCAGTCAGTGATTGCAACAGAATTATTAAATAGCATCTTTGATGATGATCCACACGAGATTGTCTGTTTTCCAACGAGTGTGGATTTTCTGCAGAAATGAGTATCCCAAACCGTTCTCGCATGTGGATTCAATATCTTATAAAGTCATGTATCATTAAATAACACTGTCAAATCTTTTTGAATGGAATAAAATTATAATTATTTATTAAACATACAAATAGTCTATTGCCGTCAAGAAGTGAAGGTTGCTACTTTTCCGTGTTATGATGATTTCAATTACAGTTTTTGTTGCATTTCAACATTCTGTGCAAATAAGTAGGTTAACAGTCAGACTGATAAACTTTAAAGAGGCTTTTGTACTAAAATCTTAGCTAAAAAATATAATTTATCAAAATAGCTCTTGTGATCAAGTTTTTAAACGCCTGCATCTTGCATCTCAACCAGCCTTCTTCTTTTTAGGTATGTTCGTAATACCCTGAAGTCAGGGGTTTCCGGTTTATTTTTGTTACTGAGTTTTTTAACGGATTCCTTCCGAGCTCAAAAGTTTAAGGAGACCAAAATAGATAATAACTTCCTTGTTATAAGATAGCACTACTTAAAAGAAATTATAGAGGAGGTTCTACTAAAAAATGTGACTGCAAACCAAACAAATATACCCAAGCAATAAATTTTCTGACAGGCAAATAAAGCAATCATAATGAAACTAGAAAAATTCTATTTGCACATCAATGAAAGTGTTATCATAAATGGAGACGCAATTCTCAGCTCTAAAAGAATAGATCGATTTAATTTGATTCATGGATGACCAATCAACTACTGAGTAAGAATAATACGAGAATCATGAAAATAATATAAGTATTTACTGGTGATAAATAACAAACTTGCGCAAACACTACCGAACGCGCTCCAGTTCCGGCAGTAGGAACTGAGGTAAGCACTTTGCACTGCAATAAAAGAAGTGCGGCAATTTAGTGTGGTGACCACCAAAGCCAGTGTTTGTTAAATAAATGTGGAACAGTTAACAAAAAACTCAACAACTTAGAGGAA